CCATGTCTGCTACTGTGCTGCCGGTGCCCTCCCTCCCCCTCCATCAGGTCCTGAGAGAGAGACGTCCTTCCCTGCTCCCCCCTGCACAGCCCTGCCCACCTCTTACCCCGTGGATTTCGGAGACAGCCTTGCCACTTGGCTCCTTTTCTGTCCCTGCCACCAGAGTCTAGAGGGATGCGGGCTCTCTCCTCACTCCTTCCCAGCCTACGTGTCCAGAAAAGAGCCGTATTTCCCTCACTATATTTCCCTCCCTGTGTCCACAGAAAGGCACCCCTGTCCCTCTTCCCTTCTCACCCTCCACACTCACAGCCTAGAGGCCAGAATTAAAAGTGGGCTGGGAGCACAGATGATGCGTAGGAAGGGTACGGGGGGCACATGCCCCTCCTGAGATTGGCCGCTGCCAACACTGCTGCTGGCGTCTGCAGGTGGTCACCACTCACCAACCCCCCCTCCCTTACCACTGACACTGTCACGACCACCTGCGGACAGTCCCTGCTCGGCCTGCCCTCGCCACCGATGCCACTGCAGCCACCTGCAGGCGGTCCGCACTCGGCACTGCTATGCCCCTGCCGTTGACACCACCACCAACACCACCTCTGCTACCTGCGGGCAGTCGCCGTGCCCCCCAGCCTCAGGAGGTACGCGTTGTTTGTGGCTGGGAGGAGAGCTCAGTGGCTGAGGCACTGGATTGGGGCCCTGGTGATCTGGGTTCACCACCAGGTTTGTCACAGATTCCTTTCATGACCTTGGACAATTTGCTTCCCTCTCCTCTGTGCCTCCTTAGTTTTTCATCTCTACAGAGGTGATAATCCTTCCCTGTCTCACAGCAGGATTGTGGGGACTATTCACAAACTCTACAGTACGTGGACATGAATGGGAGAGTGGAGAAAGGGTTGTCTTGTCTTAAAGCACTGAGAAATACTGAGGCTATGCAGCTCCCCTTTCTCCCTCCACCCCCCACCATCCAGATGGAGGGTGCATCTTTTTCTGTCCTTCCCCTCTCAAGTCTAAAGATTCACAGAAGTTTAGGGCTGGAAGGGACCTTGTGAGATCATTAGGGCCAACTCCCTGCTCTGGGCGGGGCAGACTGCTGGGGTCAAATAACCCAGCAAGGTGAGCGTCCAGTCTCCTTTTGAAGATCTCCAGGGTAGGTACCTGCACCACCCCCACAAGGAATTTACTTCAGAGAAGGCAGCTGCCCTTCTTTCCTCTTCCCGAGTCCTCCAGAGTCTTTGGGAAGGTGTTAGGTCATCCTAGTCCTCAAACCCTGTAGCATCTACACTAAGATTCTGTGCAGTTTCTTCAGTCTTTACAAGCCCTTAACATTAGACGTGCACCGATACATTGGTCTGATATTGGATTGGCACCAATATAAAGAAAACTGATTGTATCGGAAATCAGCCTGATGCAGCCAATAATGTGGCCAATAAATGCCTGTGCATGCATGCAGTCACAGAGCAGCACGCAGGCAGCTAGGAGCACAGCCTGGCAGCTTGGAGACCTGTGTGCAGCTGGTAAGCCTGTTGTGGTGGATGGGGACAGGGGAGGGAAGGGATGTGGGGGGAAGCAGATCAACACCCTGACAGTGAGGGAGGGAGGGAGTGGGGCTGAGGCAGGGGCAGGGGCTGTACAGCCAGGATGGGGCAGGGTGCGGGATGGAGCTGCAGCTTTTCCAGGGGGCGCAGGGAGGAAGGAGACTCCTGCCATGGTGCGCACCCTGGGAGGGCATGGGGAGTGGGGAGGGCGTATGCCCCTGGTTCTGCATGGGGGTGGGGAGGCAGGGTGTGTTTTAGCTGCAGGCTGGGGGATGCACCAGGCTCTTCCTGGCTTGTAGGGGCTGCTCTCTGGGCTGCGCTCCCAGTGCATGGGGGCTGTGCTTAGGGTGACCAGCTGTGGTGCTGGGAGGGGGCTACAGTGAAATTTGGGGTGGCTGTAGCCCCCCATAACTTCCCAGCCTGCAGCTGCAGCCCCCCCCCCATGCAGATCCAGGGGCACATGATCCCATACCTTCCCAGGGTGTGCACAGCTGTGGGAGCCACCCCCCACCCTGTGTCTCCCAGGTGAGCCAGGACTCTGTC